AAAGGTAATGGGTTATCTTAATTGTTGTTATGGTAGGAATCTTTAAAATCATTAGCTGATCATACAAAAGAGCTAGATTCAGATCCTATCCGGGTACAGGTTGTTACACTTTATCACTCTACACTTGCCATCCAATTGCTTAGTAGCCAGTTATCTTTTTTCGGTACCTTTGAAGGATCGGATACACCCGACGCTGTATCACTTGATTCCACCATGTCAGCTTCGAGTCACTCTACTGACTTGCAAGATGAAATCGTGTTACCAAAAGAGGATATCGCCGTTATTAAAAATTGTATAGAGGCTGCGCAGGATATTCTCACGACTGTCATGAAAATCCTTGGCCTCGGTAGCCGGTCAGATCATAAGTTTCTCCCTAATAACACCATCTATTCACTCTGCTTGGTGGCTAGTTTTATTTTGACTATCCGAGAAAAAAAATCAATTTCAGAGGCAATGCCAGATCAGCAAAAGCAATCCCTTTCATCCATTTGTACGGAGCTTCAAAAAGTGCTTGCCATCATACCTTATTCCGATGCAAGTCAAGTTATTCACAGTAAATTAAACGAGTCGACTTGGATCCATCAGCGCGTTCCTTCACCTGATAGTATCTTGATGAATGAAATGACACCAGCACATTTATCAGAAGAAGTTGATTCTCATTTCACTATGCGTGCACTTGATCAAATGGTGACTGTACCGATGCCAACAAGTCGAGCACTCTCTCATATTGACAGAGAACACCTTGAAAAACTCTCTCGCAAGAGTTCAAAAACACCACTTTCATCAGGTTTTCCACTCTCTAAATATAACAATACATCATGTCAACAAAAAAGGTCTCGAGATTGCTCCCAACCTAACGATAATTATGCTCCTCCAGCTAAAAAAAGACAAATGATGAGCACAATTCAGCAACAGCAGCAATTATTACTACAGCAGAGGCAACAGCAACAGCAATTACAGCAATTGCAACAACAGCATCAATTGCAGCAGCTGCAGTTGCAGCAACAGATGACGACACCGACACCAACAACAAGGCGTCATCGATCTTCTACCACCACCACTACCACTAGTGAAGGAGGAGGAGCTGTGATGCAAAAGGGAATGGATGAAGAACATTCCAGAAACGGAAATATGAACCTTCTAGATGGACTACCTCCAGAGTCAACAGACCCCTTTACATATAATATGTGGGTTCTTGGGAACTCTGTTTTTTATCAAGCAACCGAGCAGCAGCAAACATTACGTGATGGTCGACCAACTGATGTCTTTTCGCCACTACCTTCTATGGCAGAAAACAGTACCGTGACCAACGGTACGAAGTTGCAATTACCCCAACCTTCAAAACAGCAATCGATGCAGCATAAAATTTGGCCATCAGCTCAACGCTCGTGGTCAAACCTTTTTATCGAATCTGAATTACAAACACTTCATTCTCAAACACCACCCATGGTCAATTTAGAATCTTCCTACGTCAACTCTATCGATTTGGGTGGCGTTATGTCTGACACTGCAAATGTGGGCACATCCATCGACCCCACCTCGTTCTTGGTCGCCAATAACCAAGAAACACAATCTGAACAGAATATCATCATGTATTCTGATAATGTAGCCCCACGCACGGCGGGTAGTTTTAGTAGCCAACAAAGCAACCAAAGCAGCGAGAGTACGAGTCAAAGTAATGGTATGGTTCTTCCTGTCAGCTCGTGGGTCTCTTCGCCTATGGAACAATTGAAGCAAACGCGTGCGAGCACACCTGATGCCATTTGGGCTGCCAATGTTTCTTTTTCGTCCCAGCAAAATTCTGACTATACATCAATGCAGGTCACACGGTTAGATAGGGCAAATATGTTTGATGGTCAAAGCAATAGTTGGATTCATTCCGAAAAACTGAGCGATGATATCAACTGGGATTAAGCGTTTTTCTTTTTCTTTTTCTT